GTTTGTTGTTATTATTGTATTGTTTATCGTTGTTGCTATAGTATGTCCAACATACGGTTCAACGCATCTTGTTGGTTCACGTTGTTATCATTAGAGGTTCCTTCTCCTCTTTCTCGCACTCGGGTTCCTTCTTAGCAGTATGTTTTATCTCATATGTCTAAGCAAGTGTAGCCAACATATCGAATATGTATCGGACTCATCGTGGGAAGGTACCTTTTATCGTCCACCAATCGATAGCATCAACCGATGCGACATGTGCAATTTCTCAAATAATGCACACATGTAAATCCTAATTAAACATCAGCCTAATGAGGGTCCACCTAGCCTCGGATTGGTAAGAAAGTTCGAATTAGGTTCCGATAGGAATTGCGATCGATTTGACCCTCTCATACCTCATCCAAGCAACTACCGATCCCCGGGTAGGAGAGTCTTGCGTAAAGTCATTCGCATATAATCTAGGTTATGGTACTCGGATAAAAGTGGCATCGCAAATACTATCTCGTTGAATCGGGTCATGTACTCTAGTCACGTGAGTAACTATATCTTAATCCGTCGTCATAGCAAGGTTATTTAGTTCCACCAAATAAACGGCTAGTGTGACCCTTTGCCTACGGGTCCTAACAACTTGGGGAATGCATAATATACACGGTATTTACAATGCAAATATTTATAATCGTCATTGTTTTACGGTGTATGAGTATATACCAACACAAAACATAACAACAATCACATACATTTTTTTTTTACCGTCAAAGAGCGTACTAGTTCTCGGGCTCATGTGACACTTAGGACTCTACCCAACTTACGAAACCAAAGCTCGATACCACTAAATGTGACGCCCCGGCCCTCTTACCTATTACCTAATAAGCGTGATCGGCGCGCGACACATTGTTGGGACTAAGTCCCCTACTTCCTCCATCATACACAACAAAAACTAAACCATGGAAAACGTATGATATAATTTACAACATTATTACGGATAGTTCTATAATTTATAACATATTCAAAATGCTTAAAAATTTACAACCTAGGCCCGTACCCTTTTTTAATGACACAAAAGATATTCCTATTTTTATGAGTGATACATGAGCCTCTTTTAATGAGAACCGATAGCATCCTCGATCAACTTAACTTTGCCTTTGCTCGAACAACACACAAATACAATAACGGAATGAGCCAAAGCTCGGTAAGTAGGGTGATGCACGTGATATGCGATGCTTATTATGTTTCTCATATTTTCATCCATTTTAATCCGGTACCCTAGGTATATGCAAGTTCGTGCGCCCAATCTCTCGGTGATCGTGTTATCACCTATTGCTCTATTACTTTCTCTCGGTGATCTCAATATCACCTACCGCTCACAACGGAATTATCCCTCGTTGTAGCACACAGTTAGCGGAATTATCCCTCGCTTAACGGTGTTAGTAAATAGAGCTCATACTATGGATTCCTTGCTATTACCCAATCCACTCAATTCGATTATCAAACCGTGTCAATTCAAGACTTAATGATTTTTCTCAATTTATTTCCACCCCAATGCACATGATGCACGTGATGACATGTTTAATCACATTCAACCAAACTCGGATACCGACCTCTTCCTTCTCAAGCCATACTCACGGTCCAACCATCACTCGGAATTCACTCGGTGCTCATATACCAATCATGGTACTCATAGCGGGAATACAACCTCTACTCATTAATATTGTTTATTAGTTTCATTAATAATTAAAGAAGGTCATTTTTTTTTTGTAATTCCTCTCCGAAAGAATAAATTTTCTTTAAAATTTTAAAATCCTTTTTATTTCTATCTAAGTCCACTTATATTTGGCCTAAGCTCATTTTCGTTAGTCTAAGCCCATCTATTTTAAAATCAAGCCTCTTCATTTTAGTCCAAGTTCATTACCAAGTTTATTTTATTTAAGTCCAAGCCCATTAACATTAATCCAAGCCCAAGTCCATTTGTTTTAATCTAAGTCCACTTTATTTTTAAATCCAAGCCCATTTCATTTTAATTCAAGTCAAGCCCATTAACATTAGTCCAAGACCATTTATTTTAATTCAAGCCCAAGTCCATTTGTTTTAATCTAAGTCTTCTTTATTTTTAAATCCACGCCCATCTCATTTTAATTCAAGTCCAAGCCCATTAACATTAGTCCAAGACCATTTATTTTAATTCAAGCCCAAGTCCATTTGTTTTAATCTAAGTCCTCTTTATTTTTAAATCCAAGCCCATCTCATTTTAATTCAAGTCCAAGCCCATTAACATTAGTCCAAGATCATTTATTTTAATTCAAGCCCAAGTCCATTTGTTTTAATCTAAGTCCTTTTTATTTTTAAATCCATTTAATTTAGGTTAAAAATTTTCCAGCAGTGGCACACCTAAACAACCTATACTAAACCAGCCATAACTCCTTAAATATTTATCTAAAACTCACAACCTTTTAAGGGGAGATATTAGACATATATATCAACAACTTTCATTCTTTAAGTTTCCTCCAAACATCAATCTAAAATCCTTAAATAAATCACACACGTTTCAGAACTAAATAATCTTTTCCAGTAGCTGGTCCATTCAATGATCCGTACCAAATCAGTCATAAATCCTTACATACAGATCTAAAAAACCCGAAATTGTATATACATCTAGTAGACACATAGATGAACAAATGTCCTTCTTTGAGTTCGGCCCACAAACCACTCTATGATCTCGAAATAAATCACACAACTTTCGGAATGAAATATTTTTCCAGTAGATGATCCATTCGAACAATCCATATCAATTCAGTCATAACTCCATATATATATCTCTAAAAGTCACAAACTTTTAAAGAGACATAGTAGACACATATATCAACAACTTTTAGTATTTGCATTTTTCCTAAAAATCACTCTAAGATCCCGAAATAAATCACACCAAGTTTGGGTTTTTCCACCCCTAAAATTCAAAAATCTTCTCTTAAAGAACATTTCTCATCACACATATTTAACCATCCATCATCAAACATCAAGTGCTTAAAATCATCACAAATACCATAATCACATTTCACATGAATTAAATAACACATAAAATAAACATGGAAAGCATAAACAAAGCAAGAAAAAAAATGAAACCTACTTACATTGGATTAACTTTCCTAAAATCTCTTTTGCTTCCTTTTAGGTTCCCCTTCTTTTTCCTTCCCTTTTTTTTATCTTTCTCCCCTCTCTTTCACTCTTTCTTTCTTGGCTTTAAGGCAGCTACGGGATGCACTAAAAATGCATCCTTATCCTCTCTTTTTTTACTTAAATATCTCACCTAATCTCATCCATTTAATGTTCATTACAAGTGTCAAGAGCTTGTGGTGAAATGCAAGGTAAATGTGGCTGAAATTAATGAAAAGATGGGTTTAAATTTCAAGGAGGAAGAGGTGATGGTCAATGAAAATTTGTAAAAAGTAGGGGCCAAAATGTGATTAAATGAGGGTAATTAAATTAACTACATTTTCAGAACTCCTACCGAAATTTCGACAATTAGCACTTTTTTTTCTAATTTATACTTATTCCATATAAAAGAAATTTTCTAACTAATTTACCCAACGTTTTTTTTTAATGACGTACACCCGTTACTCTCAACAAAATGTACATACCACATATTCCAAGTACATATGTTGATCTAGTTACGGATTTTCACATACGTAATCGATATATTTTATATATACGTACGAATATAAATATCTCGATACGTACACTTATACGATTACGAATTTTACGAGGGTTACATCGGTCACACAAATGAGAAGCCACCAACGACTTCGAGTCGTGAGTTTAAAGCTAAGGATAATCTCATCACATAATTTAAAAATTACCGATCACTTTATTTGGCTCGAGCAAGGAGTAAATAATTATTTAGAAGCAATGAGTGGCTTCATCACATAGGAGGAGAGCCATTGGTGGCTTCGTTTCAAACAAATAGACATTAAATAAAAATTATTTTAAAGCCACTAGTGGCTTCATCATATAAGTGAAAAGCTACGCCAACTTTGTTTTGATGAAATAAGAAACAAACAATAGAAAATAGGAATCAGGAAACATGGAACAAAAATCCGGAAAAACAGGAATAAGGAATCAGGAAACAAATAACATAATTTCGAAACCATTGACGGCTTCATCACATAAGTGAGAAGGCACCGGCAACTTCATTTATCATTGCAACCAACAACGAAAAGTTAGTTAAACCACAAAAATAATACGAACGTCATATTTAAATAGGTAGGCATAGTAATAAGAAAATAAGAAATTTTATCAATCATTACAGTAATATTTTACCTTAACTTCATTTAATCCATAAATGTGAAGCCAAATATCATAATTTCATTCTCATTTCAAACACACCGATCATCCTTAACCTTTATTATATTTTCGAAGTCAAATGATTTTAGGATTTTTAACTCAAAAGTCCCGAATGTGCAATGGTCGATTTGGAGTCGGCTTTACCCTCTTCGTTCTCGATGATAATCGATTATTCAATTAGTGAAAAAAGAAGAGTAACTATTAATTGGTAATGTATAGTATGAGTGTCGTTAGAGTGGTAAAAAACTCCTCTATTACTCGTGAGAATATTCTGAAGTTACTCGTAAAATTTATAGAGTTATTGAAAACTCAAAGTTCTGCTATGATGTTTTCCTATCAAAAATCAAATAAATACGATCTACAATATCATGTTGTTCTTACCAACACAATCGAACATAAGGGAAAAAAATTAGTCCTTTTTTTACTTTTTTTCTTTTGCATCTCCCTTTTTCAATAACCCAAGAGCTATCAAGGGGACTATTTCGTGGTGTGTTTTATGATGTTGTTGATGGCTTTTTTGCAAGCATGTTTCGTGGCTGGAGGCATCGACTATTATAGAGGGTTTCAAGGTTGGAATTAGTGGATGTTGTGGTGTTTTTCAAGGTTGTCTAAAGGGGCTACTTTAGGGTTTTTTAGGGGCTATTGGTGGCTATTTTAGGGGTTGTTAGTGGCTATTTTGTGGTATGGGAGGGAGGCTAGAGTTGGGGGTTTTTGTGGCTGTGTTTAGGGCTAGAGTGGTTGTTTTTATGGTGTGTTTTGGGCACGATAAAGAGGAGCCGGTAGTGTGTGTGAATGGTGTGTGGAGGATGGAAGAAGGGGAGTTTGGTGTGAGGGAGAAGGGCTGGCAATGTGTGTATAGGGTTGGTTGGTTGCGGGTGAGGGGCAAGAGATGGAGTCTGCAGTGTCTAAATGCTTATGAATAGCTAGAGCTCTAAGCTAGAATAGGGCCGGCACTAGCAAAGCCGGCATGTGGAGGCTAGAGTTGCGAGATTGGCAAGTGGCCGATGGTGTCTAAGTTGGCGAGGCAATGTGGCATGAGGGAAGAGGGTTGGTGTTGTGTGGGCTAGCCGGCAATATGCGTGGGGGAGTTGTGGGCGTGAGGGTAAGAGGTCGTGGGCGAGAGAGTTAGTGTGTTGGTGAGAGAGAAGTTTTAGTCGACTAAGTGTGTTTTTTAGGATGGTAATGAATAGTAATTGGCATAAAAATGCATGGGGAGCCTATTATATGTAAGGTTTTTTTGGCAAAGTTCATTTTGGTTTTCCATGTTCTACCACCAATCAATTCAAGTTTTTTTTTTTTTAATTTTGTAGAGCCCTTAAATTTGAATTAATTGAGACTTTCTTTTTGTTTCTCCCAATTGTGCTCCCCTTTTATTTTAATTAATGGATATAAGTTTTGATTTTTTTGATTGGACCCTCAATTGCCTCCTTTGTTACCTCCAAACTTTCCATTTCTTCAATTAACCACCTCCCTTTTTCTTTTTCCTCGTTTTCTTTTTAATTAACCTAAACTAATTATTCCAATTGATTTTTTTCTTTACCATTTTTCATTTTTTATTTACGTTTTCATTTTTTTTTGGTATTTTCCAAAAAAAATAAAAATTGTAGTAAAAGTGATAAGGACAAAAATTTGGATGATAATAGGATTTTTGAAAATGCTACTTGTTATTGTGTCAAAGTCCTACTACCGTTATTGTGCAAAGTCCCATCAATCTCATCATGGAATTAGCTTGGTTATTTTTTTTAGAGTTGGAATTTTTTGTTGTCATCATTAACAAATTTTGCATCCTAACTCCATCTATGTTGCATCTTCTTTTTTTTTTAGTAGCTATAAAACTTGTCTTTTGTACTTGTTAATTATTTGATTAGATGATTTAGAAAGAAAGAAAAAAAAGTTATAGTTTGGGAAGAAAAGGGATGTATACTACTCTTACTTATGGGAAATCTTTTGAAGAAGTAGAGTTGTTCGAGAACGAAGAAGTGAACCAAGTTTAATCTTGTTTGTTATATTCTCACATAATTTTATCATATCGAAGTGGATGCATTGCATAAAATATTTTGTGATTAATATGTGAGGCATGTTATTCAAGCTTTATTTGGAATTAATGGCACTTGTGTTTCTAAAAATTACAATAAGATGGATATTTGATTAACAAAGATGGGTACATTGCAAATGTACTATGATAATGTGAATCTTATAACATCTATACTAAAACATTACAAAGTTAAACCGTCACAATAATTACTTTATGCAACACTAAGCTATCCAATGTTATTAAAAGTGTTTCTTGAAAAACCCAAGTCCAAATTTCACAAACAAATTATTTTAACATAGACAAACTCAATGCTAAACTTGATCATTTAATAATATACTATGGTCGTTGAGTGAAGTAAGATGTAATTTTAGGTTTTTCTAATCCCATGAGAGGAAAAACTAGAAGAATTAATATACACTCGTAGAACAAGTAGATAAATGCATTAAAGATAACATAATATTGAAGAAACATGTTATAGAAAACTAAGATTGTGAAGATATTAGATAAGTATGACTTTGAGGATGAATAAATGCATTATAACAATGGATATTATATGAAAGATCTTGAAGTTGCACAAAGTGAAGATTTTATCATTGACGAGTTATAAAAAAAGAGATTGATCATGTTGACTTTATTGTTCTTTTTGAAAAGACTATCTTATCGTCAACATATATATATTCAATTTGCCTCCTAAGATTTATACGTTGTCTTAATTTCACCTAAAAAATTTAATTTGTTACAATCATCCTCATAACTTTTATTTATGTTCCAATCAGACTCTACATCTTTTATTTCTATTCCAATTTCTCATTTTTGTCCATTTCTATTAGGATAGTAACAGAAAAATGTGTGTACATTTCAATATTTGAAGTTTTTGAAATATCTCAATATCATCCAAAAAATAAAAAAAAAACTAATAAACAAATTGAAAGTAACAAAAATAATAAAAAAATCAATAAAAAATATTTTTTTCAATAAAAAAAATGTGATAAAACTTGAGACGGTAGTTTCTCAAAAAATTCTGAAAACCAAGATTCAAATTAATTTAATTTTCTTTTCTTTTTATTTTTTAACCAAAACCTTCTCCATTCTCATCCCTCTCTTGATTCCCTTCCTATCATGTACTACGGAAATTTGCTAAATAGCGATAGAATTTAGTAACAAAATCAAGTTGGTTGCTAACTAAAAACAAATAGTGATTGTTGAATTTAAGGATGGATTAGAGGTGTAGTAGCGATTTTATTTTAGTGATGGAAATAAATCCCTCATCAAATTTGATGGTATAATCTTCTCGGGCATTTTAGAGATGGCTTAGTAATGAATTTGCTAGAAAAAATAGCGACGGATGTGATATTTGTTAGTATTTTCATTAGAATAATTTAGCTATGAAATATCCATTGCTAAGTTCTAATTCCCTTCCAATTTAATGATGGTAAAATCCACCACTAACGGCGTGTTTTTGGGCAAGATTTAGGCTAAGCTTTTAAAAGAAAAAAATCGCTAATGTTGCAACGGATTAGTGATGAATACCAATAAATTGAAATGAATTAGTGATGGACACTTAAGTATGTCGTCAAATGTACAAAAATGGGCGTCTAGCTGTTGAAAATTAAGAGCCTATTTAGACACAAATTAGAGATGAACTTTGACTAGAGATAGGATGCACTAAGTTCAACCCTAATTTAATCCCTTTCTTCTTCCTCCTCCCCCATTTTCTTCTCCTCCAAAACCAACGACTCGTGGCATTTTCACAACCCCTTCAAACACCACCGAACTTCACTCATCCACTCTTAATCGATTCCCACCCACTTCAAGATCTTTTCTCCAAAAAAAAAAAAAAACTTGTTTTTTTCTTCCTTTTGGTATAATTCCACCCGAATTAGGTATGTTCTTCCCTAATTTATTTTCTTAATTAAAGTTAGTAATTTGTTATGATTATTAGGTTAATAAATGTTTAATTATTCAGTTTATGATTATCTATATGTTTTAATTGTTAGTTTGTTGATTTATCTATTAAATTGTTAATTTTTGTTAATTGTTAGGTTAATCAATTTATTAATTTATTCAATTTTATTAATTTTTTATTTAATTAGTTAATTAATTATAATTTTTTAATTAATTAGGATAATTTTATTTCAATTTAGTAAATTAATTAGGTTAATTAGATGTTGGTTTGATTGAATTAGACTAAATTTGTTAATTAATTGTAATTTTGTTAGTTAATGATTTAGTTAGTCTTAATTAAGTTAATTTAATTGTTAATTTAAATTTAATTTGGTTAGAATTAAAATTTACATTTGATTAATTAATTATGTTAATTATGTTTAATTAGTTGAATTATAAGTTTAATTAGATTATAAATTGTTAATTAATTGTTAATTTAACTTTAATTTGGTTTGAATAAGAATTAATCAAGTTAATTTGATTTTTAATTAATCGAGTTAATTTTGTTTAATACGTTGAATTAAAAATTATTTATATTTAAAATTGTTAATTAATTGTTATATAAAATTTAATTTGGTTAGAATTAGAATTAATTAAGGTAATTTTAATTTTAATTAATTAATCAATTAAGTTAATTTTGTTTAATAGGTTCAAATAAACTTTATGCATATTTGAAATTTTTAATTAACTATTATATAAACTTTAATTTGGTTCGAAATAGAATTAATTAAATTAATTTGAATTTAATTTAATTAATTAATTAGGTTTTTTTTTTTAATAGGTTGAATTAAAACTTGATTTATTTTTGAATTTGTTAATTAATTGTTATATAAAATTTAATTTGGTTAAAAATAGTATTAATTAAGTTAATTTGAATTTTATTTAATTAGTTAATGAGGTTAATTTTTTTAATAGGTTGAATTATAACTTTATTTATATTTGAAATTATTAATTAATTTTTATATAAATTTAATTTGGTTAGAATTAGAATTAGTTATGTTAATTTGATTTTTTTAATTTAATTAATTAGGTTAATTTTGCTTAATTTTGTTGAGTTAAATTTTTATTTATAGTAGAAATTATTAAATTAGGTTAAATTTATAATTAATTAGTTTAACTATTTCGTATATAATTATTGAAGTGTGTCGATGATACGTCGTAGTATATTGAAGCCGAAGGGTTGAAGACCCCTAAGAATTGGGGAGAAATAAGTTGGTTCAATGCTATGTGATAGAGTTCGGAGGAAGAGTTTGTGATTTCATTTTGATGGAGTATTTGAGACAATTGTTGGTCTCATTGTGTGTAAGTTTTGGGTGATCATTTGGAGTATTTTTTAATTAAGAAATATGCAATTTACAAGGGAGACTTTGTCAAAATTTCATTAGATGTTTAAAAAACTTATTAATTAAATGATTTTGTATTGTCTCAAAAATACAAAAATAAAATAATGAGGTTCAATCTTAAGTGGATGTATGTTAGGTGTATAGATAGGTATTTAAAGATGATGTTATAATATAGTAATTTATAATATATTTTTTGTCGAATTGCTATTTATTTGTTAAACTATTTTAGGTACTATTCTTCAATCATGCCTCGTGGATTAGGTAGATCCGATCATTGCGTTAATGATCATGGCTTTGATGTTGACCGTATAATCGATAGTGGTAGTGTTCATGGCACCGCTAGTTGAACTAGCTAGAGCCATACACTTGATAGTGGTAGTGTTCATGGCACCGCTAGTTGAACTAGCTAGAGCCATACACTTGATAGTGGTCCAATTATGTTTGCATCCCCTCCAGGTAGTGTCCCCGTTGTGGATGATCCCAGTATGGTTTCCTTGACTCCAAGAAATTCTATTGGATTTGATGAGGGATGGATCATTTGGGTCGTGAATAAGTAGTAAGTAATATGTTTTACATGCAATAATTAATTTCTTATTTTCAT